GAGAATATTGAATAGTAGTTGAAAACTTACTTTTTTCCAGCAGTTTCATCAGTCCATCGACGATAAAATCGCAAAGCACGAAAACGATTTACGTAAAGCACTTTCTCAAGTCTTGATTTCCTTCTTACTTTCTACAGATAGGAAATCGTTGAATAATATGGAACGGAAAACTGAATAATCCATCTCTTTGTTGAAAAAGCAGGTAGTGATATCTTGTTTCCTGCATCGATAGATTAAAAAAATTCTACTTATAAGAATTTTTGGAAATTTTTTGTTTTGTGAGATGATGTAGGGCTCTGACATGTGTTGTGAACAAGAACTGGGAAGGAGGAATGAGAAACTTTGTTTTCACTACGTCACAAGCTTATCGCTCCCAAGTAGCAGTCAGATTTGAATGTTGTTCAAATAATTATTCTCATCTAAGTTTGCAATCAAATAAATTGTTCCGGTATTTGACCTTTGACTTTTGATTTGATATCAATATTTGAGTTTTTATGTTCATGCTGAAACAAATCAGGTGCAATCGTGTACACTGGTCATATTTAGATCACGCAAGTCAGCTTAAACGTTACATAACTGTTGTGATTTTTTTCTTGATTGAAATTCGAGAACAAAGCAGCAAATAAGAGAATGAAAAAAGTCTAGGTTGCTTCAGGACTGAATAAGCTCCGAGCTTAGTATTAAACTTTTGAGTTTGACCTCATATTCTGCTTGATATGACAATTGGAAGCGTAACTTTCAAGGAATACTCATTTTTTTCTACATTTTCACTTTTGTGCGTATTAAAAGCTCACAAAGATGCAGCAAACAAATTCTTTAAACATTTGTTACTGACAGCAAGGGCATTATATTACGTGGCATAAACGTTTTTTACAGTATACGATATGTAGTACATTGCAAAATACATTTATATTGTTTGTTATCACTGTCAGTAGTAATGTTAGTCACAGTAATGGATGAGATCAGTACTGTGGTATCTGTGATAGTATTAAATAACGTTGATGATAGTGTTACAAAGAATAATTATGGCTATTGATATATACTGGAATAAATGATAATATCATTATAACTTTGCAAAATTGAGTTCTATTCAATAATAAAAGCTGTATTTAATGCTTAGTAATCACGTTATCGATGCTTTTGTAAGAGTCAGCTCTTAAGTATTACATGCAGTTCCAAATGATAGCGGAATCTGAAATACTTGATTAAATACGATTGCTTAGCTCTTCATGGATGCTTGGCTAGTGTTTTGCAAGACAATGAAATCTTAATTGAGTTTGTGTTGAATTCTGCTGCTTTTAAAGTGTCGAAATGTGAAGTCAAATTATACCTTTACAAGTATATTGATAATCTATACTTCTTTGCTAACTCAATTTTCTTCCCAAGGATTTGTGATGACTGGCCAGTATTAGGCAAGTTTATCATTTTTTGATGAAAACTGAAAGCCTAGATTAGAAAAAGCCTTGTCTTTGCAGAGAAAGTGACGAAAACAGCCAGAAAAGATGAATTAAAAAGCCTAAGGGAATGCAATAGCAAATTATATATTTGAGGAAAAGAAGAAGAAGAAACCAAATAAGTGATGAAGAGTATGTAAGTAAGTAAGTAAGTGATTGTACTGCTAAAAGTAAGCTTGAGATGTAAGCTTAAAAAGAGCAAGTTCAGTTTGGCTTGGTAACTTTCCTCGATGACATTGGGAAAAGATGTTAGACCTCGGAGCTCAGGAAAAGGACTCGAGTAATCCTGGAAGACATTTGCCCGAGAGAAGACGAAGCATTTAATTCAATCAAGGAAAAACTAAAATACAGCCACAAGATGTAAGAAATAAAAGACTGCTCTACTATATAAACTAGGCTCTTTTTCTAGTAATAATAACTTACTTGTTTATTTCTACTCTCGTTAATTAACCTAATATATGACCGGGAATTTCAGTACCAGAAGGTCATGAAACGAAAGAGATCATCAAGAGTCAGGCTGAATTTTAGCTGTACTCAGTTCACTTCCAACAGTGATTACTAGTAGTCACTGCGGAAAACTTTTGTTTCTCTCGCACAAACAGATATTAGTGTATGATAGAAAGAAGCCACAATGTGACATTTATTGCATTATTGGTCTTATGATTTTTGAACTGCCTCATATTCTGCAAGGAAGCAAGTCTCAGATTTGCTAGCAGAATTCATTCAGAATCCAAATTAGATCTTATTTTGATGGAAAAAGGCTCCATAAATGTGATGCATGCATGTGTTCACTGCTCAAGAAGATATCTGAAAATTTGACATATTCTGTTATAAATGTAAAGCAGTGAAAGAAGCATTGTGCTTTATTCTAGTATAGTTTGAAAAAATGAAAAAAAATCCTTCTACTGAGGCTTACTTCTCAGAAAAATAGTGAAAACAATTTATTATTTTTATTTTCAGTACTCCTTATCATTTGTAGTCATTACCTTTATACCTATCCTACAAATCATTATCGGCGATTCTGCTATTTGAATTGGAGTTTAAAGTTTATTTTGAATATGGGACAAGAGCTGACAACATCTCTGAAATAAAAACTGTTGTTGCCTTGAATACTATCTTTGTTGCCCCTTTGATATAGTGGTCATTATTTTTTTCCATAACAACAATTATTATTACTATTGTTATTATTATTATCATTAATTACTATTATTGTTGTTATTGTCATCAAAGAAACATCTGCACTGATGTTATTAGTATATGTATATTTAGCATAATGCTTAACCCTTATCTCCAAATGTAACACATATCCATCATTTATCCATTTGTAATCAACTGATTATTCAGCCTCTATAATTCATATATGTAATATATAACTTTGTATTGAAAATGTAATCAGCCCGTACTTTTTTACCAATCTGTGCTATACTTTTGCAGCATTTGAAACAGGCAATTTTCCGCTTGTTAATAATTTTATTTTCGTTTATTGTTAGACATACTGTCAGTGTATGAAAATAGCTTAGCAAATAAATATATATAGCAATTTTTAAAACGAGCAGCGATTATCCCAGTCTGATCAAGATATGCAATTATCCCCTTGTCGAGGACGAGGAACCAAGACTTGCAACATTTTCCAGGAGATAATCTAAATTTCTCCTTGTGTCTCTTTGCTCTCATCTACTTTTGGCTCACCACACCTTTACTATTCGTAGCAAATCCGGTCACTTTCGACAGTAACTGATAGGGAAGCAGACTTTAATCACAATCCCTTAATTATCCTTGCAAAAAGAGAACTTAATTTTGAGCATTTTCGTCTAGTATTTAATCCGAATTGTCTTAAGTCACTTTCATGAAAGCTTTTATAAGCACACACATTACAGCTAATAGCTACTATTCATTTCTTTGTCATTTTCTCCGTTGCCTGCTAAAGTTTCTGACTAATTATGATAATTTTAGCCATTCATCAATGCTTTTATTACTGTTATTATTAATAAATATAGCACCAACTTGCAGTTATCTTGGCTAATAATATTATTGTCGTCAAATTGTTTAGCTTTGAAAATATCTTTGCTATATATAAGTAGTCGTAAAAATTTCAGGAATTTTTATTCAAGCAGAAATAAGTTATCAGCAGTAGTGATAAAGATAATGATTATGATAATAATAGTGGTGATATTAAAATTGCTGCTATTATCATTGTCATTACTATTATCGCTGTAACTGTTGTTGATGATAGCAGTGAGACAGACTTCTATCATTGCCACAGTTAGGACTATGGTAGTAAGTAATGAGTGCAATCAGCAACTTGCCAGCCGTATTGAAGTGGTGTTAGATTTTAGAAACAAATGATTATGTTCAACGAGCATCCATCTTGTTTCTTTAATTCTGTTGCTTAATATTTCTTCTTTAGTTCGATTGTTTGTTACTTTGCCTGATAATGATAATGATAGTCGTAATTGCCTTCCAATTTTTATTGTTAAAATAAAATCTCGATTTATAATTTTCTGGAAGAAATAAACTCTTGAAGCAAGTGTCCAGTATGCCACCAGTGACTTGTTGAATTATTTGTTGTCCCAAAAGGTGGGATGTTTTGGTTATATACTGAGTGGTCTACTTGAGTGAAATGAAGGATACAAGTTTGCGTACTATTAATAAATGACGTTTAGTCAGTAGTGATTTTGGAAACATTGAACATAAAATCTATGGAAAAGAGTTCAAAAGTCCAACTTAAAATTTCCGAGTATAGTTGTGTTTATTGACCAAACTTAAGTTTATTGTACCTCAAAGTGTTGTTACAATCATTTACTGCCACTCTGATACTTTTATTACTTTTGTCTGATAAAAATGACAAAAATAGTGAGGAATATAATGACAGTGATGCTAGAAGCATAATGAAGATCTGCAGAACTGATCAGTGGATATAATAATTAACTAAATTAACATTTATTCAATAAACAATATTTTTTCTAGATCAGTAAGAAGCAACGGAGCAGTGCGGTAAGATATGTATAATGAATAATTTCTTAATTCATTTGCAATGTAATTGGGCATCTGAATATGTTTTTTCTGTTCTTTTTATTGTTGCTGTTATTCTTATTGTAGCAGTAAAGCTCTCGTTATTACTGTTAACGAACTTCACTAATAAACTCGATGTAACCTAACCGGACATTGATTACTATCGTCCTTCTCACAAGCAAGGAAATTTTAATTAAATTATTAGTGGTTATTTATTAGCAATAAAGATACTGAACTGATTTTTTAACATTTATGCTGTTAACTTTATAATGAAGCAGGTATATTTGCTTGTAAAATTGGTCAAGTTGAATTTTGAAAGACGAAGAAACAAAGACGAAATTTAAATAATTTGCATAATTAGATGATAAAAGCTGTAACTTTTGTCTCCTTCTGATTACTTTTACTCTAGCTTATTATGCTTTTTTCATTGCAAATCTAACTAATTGCTACCATCAACACAGTACTTTTTTATTCATGACCTTAGTTTGGATGGTTGACCCCAAATAATTAGCCCAACCGTATGGAGTTGCCGTTATGAAAACAGCGGTATTTGGTCACGACGACACATGCGACGATACGACATTATCGCTGAATAGTGGCGCCATCCCGTCGCTAACTTTTGCACCGCCGGCATCTCTTTCAGTTTCTTCATCTTTACCGATCCGTTGCGGTAGCAGCGGTGTCGCTAATGCCGTGAGTGGCTACCGCCAGCACCATCACTCAAGACGAACTTCACGCATGCAAAATGTAAGTTATCACTTGACCTTTAATCGCCTAAAAGCTTGCGCTCAGAAGAATTTTTTGTTATGAACTTTTATTATCCTTTATTTCATGCTTGTATTTGTTGTCATTGCTTGATAACTACTTGATTAAACTCCTATATTGCATAAAAAATGGTGATTAGTTAAAAACAAGTCGACGTTTTGATATTTTCTGATTGTGTGAATTAATTTAATTAGCATCACTGGTATAAAATATTGAAGATCAAAAACTCTCCTTGTAGTTAAATACAATTGATTGGTTATAGTTAAAGTAATCTAAAAATGCTAAGTGCTATATTTTAGTTAGAAAATTAATCAGAAATAATGAGTAATGAATAACTAGTAACAGTGATCGACTGCTGAAAAAATGATTCCAAATGCGTATTCTACATTTAGAATCATTGAAAATGAATTGATCAGTGTGAAGATGATCTAGTTAATAGATACTTTTTCTTACAACTGCCAAATGCAGCAAAATTAAAATGTGCCTAATTATTCATTTATTGGAACTGGTCACCTGAAATAAATGAATAATGATTTTAATTGCACAGAATATAGTGTTTCGTAAAGGATATAAAGATAGGTCTTTACGCAGATTAACTCATAAAAGTAGAAAAATTTTGCTAAGATTCATCAGTTGAACTCGACATCTGTTTTCAGAAGAGTTAAGCCTATGTTATCTCATCCAGATTTTCAGTCCTCGTCAACTAGTACAAAAAGTGTCCACAACATTTGCTTAAATCATAATTTTAAATGTCCATTTTATGTCCACTGAATACATATTATTCTGTGTCAGAAATCGCCATAAACTGATTAATAAGCTTGGCAAGATTTCTCGATTTCTGCTCCATGCAGTCACCCAATGTAACAGTTTATTTTGGTGTTCTTTTATATAGACCAAATTTGAGCATTGTTAGTGATCTTGAAGCAATTTTGATGGCTAATTTTAAAATAGCTTAAAGAAGAGTTACTCTTCTTATCTCTTATCAAAACTTTAACTGTCTACTGTGTTGAGATTTGCTTAAATATCATGTATTACTACCATTTTATTCATTTCCGTTCCCCTTTGTCCCTTAGTATTTGCAATGATGGAATGAATGGTCAAAATTTTGTTTCACTTATTTCAGGAATCTAATAATTCGACTGATTATGCACTAATTAAACTGATCATTTTTTGCTTTTGCTTCGCTGCAATACTGTGTTTGTTATTAATACCAATTAGCCAGCAGTAATAATTCTTTTATTTAAGTTATTTTACAATCAAAAATTGCATATTTTTCGTCTAAATTATGGTTTTGTAGAAATTTTGGTGATAAATAACTAAAAATTTGACGAGATGAAATTATTGACACTACACTTTTATTATATCACATTTTCAGAACTTCTGTGTTGAATGTAGTCAATTATTGATTTTTATTACTTTTTCATCTGAAAATTTGATTAATAATTCATAAATACACAATTCAACGATTTAAATTATATATATATAGTCAGTAATGTGTTTCTCTTAACACTGATAAGTAATAGTAATAGTAAAATATGGGCAGCATTATTTTTATTTTATCAGCTAAACTCTCTTGTTGATTTAACTTGCTGATTTATTCATTTGCAATTTACTTCACATTCTCTACCGTAAAAAAGTTTCAACAATTAATTATCTGATGTCTATAAATTTCGAGGTGAACCACAACATCTGCTTTTCGTTACTTTGCTAAGCTCTGCTCTTCCACTGCTATTCTCGTTATTCAACTCAGATTTTTGGTTTCAACATAGAAGCCAGTCAACTTTGACTTATATTAAAAGATACGCAAATTGCAGTCATAGCTTAGATTATTCGATTTATCAGCTGATTTGCATCATAATTAAAAAGCTTCTTAGTCTCGTTTCAGTCATTCAGTGTCACAGCAGCAGAAAATTAATCCTTCAATGTCAGAATAGAAGCGAATTTATTTGGCTGTATCTGGCTTAGCATGACGCGATTGATAACTGGACAAACAATGATTTTTAAATCCTTTAATAGACTTTGTTGGACTGCATAAATGTGCGTTTTCCAATAATCCAAAGATTGATTGCAGTTTGGTTATAAAGGAATGATTGCAAATGTGTAATTGTTGCTGTTCATAAATTGAAATTAGCTGAATATTGTTTGATATAAGTTAATTTATGGCATTAATTATTGAAGACATAATCGTCACAAATGTAATGAAAAACTAAAACGAAAATCATTACCATTATTTAAATTGAATGCAAATATTGCTGCTGTTGTGAGTGAAGAAAAAATAGCCTTTGCACTATCATTATTAAAACTTAATCAAGTAAGACCTTGAAGAGATTGTCATCAGCACTATTATTATCTAAACAAGCAATGATTCCGTTGTCACAGTGGTTAGCATCGGTATTAAAATTAGCATTTGTTCAGCGTACAATTTTACGCTTGAAAACATTCAGCTCACTTTGTCGCACTTTTTCGTTCATTTTTATCATTGAATGACCGAGAACGAATCACACAAATTGCCATTAAACTTTTGCTAGCTAGCTAAATAGATAGCTGTGGAGTTTTTTTGTGCTTTGAATGTTTCATTCGGTAGGATACTTTTCATCTTTCCTCTGATATTCAGCATTTGCGCTGTGTTCATGTCGCTGACTTGGATATGCTTTTATAATTGCTTTATGATTTATTTCTTACATCGTTTCAAGCAATTTCAAACAGCTCTTGGAAAATTCAGACGTTATCAATATAATTACGCTCATTATAATTACTTGCCAGAACTAGAACTAGTCATTCATTTTTATTCACTGATCAAAATAGCAGTATTTAAGACATGATTAATAATAACAGTTTAATAATAATGATGATAGTAATGAATAATAATGTATTTTTATTATTATAAGTAATCAAATTTTTTAATTATAAATAATGGTGATAAATAGTAATATATGATAACAGATCATAATAACAGTAATAATAGTCAATTATTATTATCAATAATGATATGAATAATAATAGTAGCACAAATAATAATTATTATAGTGACAAAATGACGATGTGTCAGAATTGTTATACAACTCAATACATTTTTGTCATATTTCTTAAGTCACTTTGTAATTATATAATTGAATTATTGCGTACTTTTTAAAGTAAACAATAACACTGAAAGTAATTGAAATGTTGAATATGTCATAATGACATGTGAAGTTAATTGGATTAGATCTCTACCATCTGAAGCTCAACATCCGCACAATGGCACAGAGAATTTGAGATAAACAAATATGCAGATATTTGCATTATGCTAATGTTTTGAGTGCTTTTCTCAAGTAAGTTACTTTTCATATGCATTCTCACTCGTACCAAAGCGGTAATGAATGCCCTGAGAAAAGCGTAGAATGTGATCCCAATTTCCTTTTAAGGCGAACTTTTATTTCTACCAAATTTACTTACTTGTGATAGATTTGCTGGAAGGAGTATGTTTTGCTTAGTGCACTGAGTGTGTACATTCCTCGCCCATTAGATTTTTTTCGTTTAATTTGGAAGCATTCTGTAAATATAGTCAGAATTATACTAATGTCCAAGGTATTTTGTTGACAGCGATAGAAGTTAAACTAATTTTCTTCTGAAAGCACTGCCTTGCAATTACTGTTATATCTGTAGTGTGCGTTTCAGCAAATTCAGTGCATATCGTAATTTATCATGAACTTGATAAGATCTTCTACAGTCTTAAAAGGAGTATTCCATGGAAGAGTTGAGAAACAAATGGTAATATGTGGTCATTTCAGTTTCTGCTCCAACAAGAAATGATCTCTCAAGATCTTCATTCCTCTCAAGGATACTTCAATTTTATCTGCAAGTTAGAAGAAAAAATAAAAGGGTCATAAGAATAAGATTAAACCGTTAGCTTTTTTCTCGATTTTCAACTTTCCAAGAGAAATGCTTGCGTCATTTCGTCTTCCTCACAAAATTTCACTCTGCGAATAATTTTTGCTTTACGCATTTTTTGCTCATTGCTTTGCATAAACGTGATTGATCATACCATCAGATTGTTTATATCAAACTATCTGCATTTATTTTCTCGTTTTTTAGCATTGTTTCACTTTATGCATATCAAAAATTGCCTCGTTATCAATTTCACGTAAGGCGTAATCTTACAATCGCAGTGCAATTTAAGCAGTTCAAATAATGCGAAAATTGGCTATAATGTATGAAATGAATTTAGAGTGTCTTATTCTTATCTAAACCAGGATGAAAAAAGTTGTCTTACAAATGTTAGTTTCAATTTTTTGTGCGTGTTTCGAAGATTTTTTATTTTTGAAAAGAATGAAATATTCTACAAATTTTTATAGCTTGTCGAAAGTACACTGAATTAATTTTTTGTGTGCTATGAGCATGACGTGATTCTCTTACTTCACTCTTTACGTTAGTGTAAACAATTGTAAATCATTATTTTTTGCTTCAAGTAGTCTTCTTCTGGTTTGAAATTTAGCTCGAAATGCTCAATTATTCAGTCATATTTTTGACAGATTCTTAAGTTTTTGATGTTACCGTTTTATAATTTTTTGAAGTTTCCTTAAATACGAGAAGTTTGTGATGGAGTGCGTTTCATTTCGACGAAAAACTTCATTTACAGAATGTTAAGTTTCTTCAATACAATCATTGCATTCCGTTCTGCCCTGAAAGAAAGTGACTGCACAGTAGAAAGGAATGAAAATTTTCAAAATTCGTGTCTTAAATATTTGTAAAAGTAATTTTGCTAAAAAATTTAGAGCTGAATCTTGTTGAAACTGAGCAGTGTGCGTGCTTCACTAATTTTCTACCATTTTTTCATTCTAATTTTCAATTGTAACTATTGATAACAAATGTTTTGCAGGAAAATCTTTTAAATTAAATTCGTACTTAAATTTATTTAAAATTTGACGAAAAGTGATAGCGAAAAACGTGGATAAATTGTTCCAGTGTTGTCGAAAACAAATTACTTTTTCATCGTAAAAAGTGAGTGCATTGCGCAGCTGTAACTTTGCAGCATAAAATTTGCAACTGTTCGTATACTGTTAGAA